GCCCGTAGGGCTGGCAGCCGCCCCAGGCGGGGGATGTGCCGGGAGTCAAACCTGCCTCCCTGCCAGATCGCGGCTGCCAGCGTGTGCTGGAGCGCCAGGGCTCTGCCAATAAGCTCCGCTGTGTTTCTTTATAAGGTCCCTTTTGTTATTGCAGCAGCCGGTGGGCTGGTGCCCCTCCCCTTCCCGAGGCCGGCACAGGTCTGTCAGCTGGCCTGAGCTCCCAGTTGGCACTGGGCAAACTGGTGAAGTGATGCCCTGAGGGCTGCACCCAGGTTGGGGCCCCGTGGGCTGGATTTGGAGTATGATGTGGGAGGTTGAGGATGAGGGCTGAGCAGGGGAAGGAGGGTAACCAGGAAAGGATGGAGGGATGGTGTGGGGTGGGAGCATAGGAGGGGGACAAGACTGGGGTGCAGGTCTCCACACAAGCATTGACATGGCAAGAAATGGGGCACAAGCTTGGGGAGGATTTTCCCCCAAGCATTTTCATGTTGAGCCATGAAAGGCAGCAGGAGCTGGGTCACAGGATGCATCAGCCTTCCATGGCATGGAGGATGGGGGCAGCAGGCAGGGTCCCAGGGCTGGAAGGTCTGCCCACAGAGGCACAGGCAGTGGCACATCACTGTGGGATGCAGCCCCTTGTGTCCAGCATTAATTCCAGCTCTTGTGTCTGACCCAGAGCCCTTAGGCTGGGCTTTGCCCAAGGGTCTGAGAGACCTAGTTTTCACGGTGCCGATCCCCTGGCATCTGAAGGAGAAGGTGACCCTCCACCCAGCAGGTGGGTAACCAGATTTTAAGGCTCTCAGCTGGCTCCAGAAATTGTTTGGTGGGATTGTAGAGTCAGTCCCTGTCCTCTGCAGGAGTGGTTGTGTGCCCCACAAGAGGGGCTGGTGGGATGGGGTGATGAAGGACAGGCAGGCCTCTCCAGAGAGGGCTGGTGCTGCAGGGGAGGCTCTGAAAGTCTGCAGAGGAACGAGACTGAGGAGGGGCACCACTGCCCAAAGTTCAGTCCTACCCGGATCTGGCAACAGTAACGCTGGCAGGTGCCACTGTGGCTGGGGGATTTGAGGACCAGGTTGGACTCCAAAGCTGCCAGAAAGCAGGACCAGCCCTGCCTGTGGTTGGAGGCTGGCCTGGCTGACCTTCAAGTGTCCTCTCAGCCCTAACTTCCATTCTGTGAGGAATGAACCAGCCCAGATCTTGGCTGTCATAAATCAAAGTTGCTCCACTGAGACCGATGGAGGGAGCTGCATTTATTTAGCTCAGCCAAAGATCCGGTCTGGTACATTCTTAGCAACAATATTAGGCAGGCTGTGTTCGCTTGGCGGAGGCATTGGGCGTCTAACCATTCATGCAGGGCATCGGAAATCGAGGGCAGAGTGCTGCTGTGCCCCGTGCACGTGTCCCTCATGGACTCGGACCAGGTTCCCTGCCCTGTCCCCTCATGGTGCAGGATGCAAACCAGCCTCCCATGGGGAGCAAGTGGCACTCGGATTGTGATTGGAGGTTTTGAGTTTCCTACAGCAAGTGTCTCACCCGGAAATATGTCAGGGAGGACCTGGACAACCCAGAAGCTCAGCTGAGCACCCCCAGCTGAAACCAATGGCCACCCGGCCCAGCCTGTCCCTGAGGATGTCTCTCCTTCACTGCTCCTGGAGAGCAGGGCATTGCTGCAGGCAGTGTCCCACCATGCAGATACAGTGAGGGGAGGGTCCCACCATGCAGATACATCCTGCTGGCAGCCAGGAGCTGGAGGTCAGCCCTCTGGGGCAGGCTTTGCTGAGCTAGTGCCTTGTTGCTGCCCCACATCCAGGAGAGAAGATTTGGTCCTGGTTGCTGGCAGACATGGAGAGAACATGGTGCCGAGTGAGCCTCAGTGGAGAGGACGTCAGGGCTTCTGCAGTGAGACGCTGCATTGCAGCCAGGGAAGGTGCTGTGGTCTCTCCTGCTAGGCTCCAGGCAGGTGGCCAGAGGAAGAATATTGAAGTAAGATGAGGATCTGGCTCCAGGAAAGGTGTATTTGACCCCAAGAAAGACCATTTGGGCCATGGAGAAGCATCTGGCCCTGGAGAAGGAGTGTCTGTGGTTTGGTGACCCTGAGCAGAACTGTGGTCCTGCAGCAGCTCCCCAAGGCTAGGAGCACAACGCAGTTCTTGTGCTGAGCTGGGGTGGGAGGTGGCTGGTGAAGAGCCTGTGTCCTGGAGTAAGCCCTGAGCTGGATCACATGCCTTCCTTGCAGAGACCCCCAGAAGCACCTCGCTGCTGCCAACACAGACACTGGGGATCCAGGCTCTCTAGCAAACACCTCTGAGGTGGCAGGGGGACCTGTGCTCCCAGTGACACGGGGGCATTGGTGGCTGTCCTAGGCAGGCAGCAGGGAGAGGGATGAGCTAGCACTGGATCTGCTTGGGGATGACTCATTTCAGGCACACTGAGGATACTTGCACAATACCAAATTTGATCTTTATTTCTTAAGTGCGGGCCAGTTCTCGGGTTGAAAATTTATCTGATGTAAAAAATATTATCTCAGTGTTTCTTCAAGCCAAACTGAAATGTCACTTTACAAAGTACACTAAAAAAACCCACCCTGAGACATTAGATCATTAGAAAATTAGCATCACCTCAGTTGCCTCAGACATGGACACATCTCTCTGCTCTGCTCTCTATTTGTTTGAAGATTGAGCTCTTGGTTTTCTCTCTTTAAGCTGCATGTTCTCCAAGCCAGCTGTGGCTTTGAGTGGTGACAGACATGTACCATGAATGGGGCATTCCCGGCCTATCGAGTGTGAGAGTGACTTGAATGTTGGGAGAAAACCCATTTCATGGCATGGCTGAGTAGTCCTCATCCTAAGAGCAAGGTTATGCTTTGCTGATGTAAAATCCAAAATCAGTGTGGGGACTTGGTGAGGGAGGGGACAGTAGATCCTGCTGGTAGAGCTGCTTTGAGACCCAGGCTGTGATCCCTGCATGCCTATTGCAAGAAGCAAGGCAAGAATTGCAGCCATAGGTTGAGAGCCTGCAGAGAGATACAGATGTTGAAGGACAAGAGAGGTATAAATATGGTGTAAATAGCCCCATGCCTGGATGCTCAGTGCTAGGTAGGAAAGCTGAGCACCACAGATTGGGAAGAGAGGTCATGAGGGGAAACTCAGAGCTCTAGGTTTGCCCCTAGGGGCTCCAGGAACTGGCCATGTGAGGGAGGACAGCCTTTCAGGCAGGACAGTCAAGGTCCAGAAGAGTATTGGAAGTTTTTAGTGATGGTGGTTGAGAAGAATGAAAAGGTCTTCAGAGGGTGACTGAGCAGCCGCTTGCTCTGGAGGTGCAGTTGGAGCATAGGGGGTGGTGGAGGGGTGGTTTTGTTTTTTGTAGCTCAGCCTGTGACTGGAAAAGCAGCCTTGGAGCTTCTGGACTGGGGAGGGGACAATGCCTGTGATAGCAGATGGAGTTTTAGCGAAAAATAGTCACCAAAACCCATGGCTGGCAGGTGCCAGTTGATGGGATGGATTCACCTCCTCTGCTGCTGGGAAGCAAAGAGCCTGTGAGCTCTGTCCTTAGCTGAGGGCACAGCAGCTGCAGCCACTCAAGGAGCCAAAGTGGGACCAAGGTGTGTGCCCGGCACTGGCCCAGTAGCACCCAGCCTGTTCTGCTCTTGGGTGCTCCCTGGCATAGCTTTGGCTCTGCCAGCCAGTGCAGGCACAGCTGGAGGGCAGTGGGCACCAGGGCCCCTGCCCAGCAGCACCTTTGGATGCAGCCACCCTGTTTTGGGAGGAGGAGAGGTTTTAGGCAGGTGGGAGGGATGCCCGCAGGGTGGGGTGTGCTGAGGATGTGGACAGGGATGCTGGAAGCCTCCTGCCCAGCCCAACTCCCCTGGGCAGGCAGACTCAGAACTGGCGAGCTCCTAGTAACCTTGTGGCCGTTCTCATGGCTGCTTCCACCAGGGTGGTGCCGGGGGAGGGCTGGGGCCAAATGGACATGGATTTGCCCTGAGCCACCCATCCAGGTCTTACTACAATCACTGCCCAGCACTGACAAGTTCAGCGGTGGGCTGAGCCAAGTGCTTCTCCCCAGGGACTTGCAGGGTGTCAGAGCCACTTTCACCAGGGGAGTGTCTGGCCCACAAGTCTGAGCGCAGAGCAGCTTCCCAGACTGCATGTCAGTTGGGGGTTCTGGGGGGGTGTGAGGAAGGTGCCCAAGAGCCCCCCGAGGCACAGGGCAGCCTGTCAGTGCTGCACAGGGCTCCCCTGGGACAGGCAGCACTGAGCAGCAAGGAGGCTAGTCCTTCGTGGAAGAAGCGGAGCCTCAAGGAGATTGGCCTGGGTAATTGGCTCAGGAGACCAGGCCTCTTAAAAGTCAATTAGAGACTTTTAAAAATAAATCAGACTGGAACATTGTGAGGGCTGCCAGAAAATTTGGGCGAGGTCAGAGTTGCTTAACTGTTCACTGTTGATTAGATTCAACCAGCTTTTTGGTTGGGATAACTTCTGTGCCTCTGAGTCAGACTGCTTTGGGGGCTAAGCCAAGAGCATCTCCTAACATGGCCATTTAAGGCATGGTGGGCTGAGACCTGATGGGCAGCCTGAAGAAGACACTACACCCCACTGTGAGCTGGGAGGCCAAGGGGGGAGTTTCCTTTGTTTTCACCCTCTCTGCCTAAATTTTCCCTTCTGTGAAGTGCTTTGAAGTCGGTGGGTGGGGAAAGGTGAGTGAAGAAATTCTAGTTGTCTTGTCTCGGGTAGCAACTGCACTTGAGACCAGCACGAGAGTTTGTCCAGGTTAAAAAATGAGTGCAGATCTGTAGAACAGCATGTGATGTGCACATGTTTCTGCTCCAAGTCTCTGCTGCAGCTGAACTTGGCAGAGCCTGAGCCCACACATGCAGTTTCACAGGCTGAGGGGGGACGACTTTGGAGCAGTTGTCCTGTCTCTCCACATCCAGTTTAGGCGTGGGTTTGGGTGCCTTTGTCCTGTCATCAGTCACTGGAGCTGTCCTGTCACCCCACCTCTCCTCCAGCCGCATCTCCAAACCTCCCCTTAGGTCCCAGACCTGTCCTTGGAGTGTTTGTAACCAGTGTCGTTCATCCTGGGTCCCAGCAGTGAGTAGCTGGTCTCCAAAGCAGAGCGAGGAACCTGCATTTCCCGAGAAGCTGAACAAGGAGAGAATCTGTAGGCAGGCTAACATGGAGTGTCCCTTCCCATTGCAGCGGCCACCCCCTGAGCCACCTGGTTTCAGATTCAGAGTCGGAGATGGACAGTGTGGAGCAGCTGGCCCTGGGCAGCACAGACACCCTCTCCAACGGGCACAAGGCTGACCTGGAGGCTGCCAAACGCCTGGCCAAGAGGCTCTACAACCTGGATGGCTTTAAAAAAGCAGATGTGGCCCGCCATTTGGGGAAGAAGTACGTATGGGGGGTATTCTCAAGGAACATTCCATTCTGCAAGGGGCCCACCTGCACCTGCGGTGCATGCACAGTCGCTGCCCTTGTGGTGCACTGGGCCGGTAGGGAGTAGCTGGCAGGATCCCAAAGCCCACTCCCTGTGACTAGTACATCTGTACCAGGTATTCCCTTTAAAGGTCTTAAAACATAAGAGACATACAGGTTTTCGTACCTTCCTACCATGACTGCATCTTGGATGCTTCAGTAAGGTGTTCGGGCAGGGGGATGGCTAGCTGACCTCTTGTAGGCCCTTCCAGCTCTAGCTTCTCCAGTTTCTCTTACATGCCCAGATTCCCATTGGATCTGTGGGTGAATCCTCTGGGTTTCATGGGAGTGTGAGGTGTCTCTGTCCTCAGCACACTTCCCACAGCCCTGGGGAGCTCTCAGCCTCCTAGAATCCACTTCATCCCTGTGTGCCTTCAGCTTTCCCCACAGTCTTGTCGATCCCACTTTGTGTCCATCTTTTCTATTTCAGCAATGAGTAGCAGGTGAATACCTGAAGTTCTTCGTGTTCACGGGGATGAGCCTGGACCAGGCTCTCAGGTCAGAGCTGAGTGTGTGTACATGTGCATGTGTGCGGTGGCCACCCAAGTGGGGTCCCAGCAGGCAGTGCCCTCTGCAGCTCTGTGCCCATGCAGAGATCTGCAGGAGCAGACAGTCCCTGTGGCTCCCACCTGGACATCCTCTTACCTCTTAATTAGGGGATGGTGATTCCCAAGTGGTCTCTCAGCCACACAACCAAGGAGCATCACTGGTCTTAAACCAATGGTCAGTGCAGTTGGGTGACAGTCAGGTTCACCTAGGACTGGCTTTCCAGGCCTTTAGCCCAGACCCTCCTGGTGTCACCCCCACCTTCTTTCCCAGTGTAGTTCTTGGGGTTGGCTGTAGGTCTCTGTGATGTGCCGGCAGGGTGTGGTGCTGTGGGCTTGGAGGGGACTCCTGCAGTGGGTTGGGTGGGAGGTGCACCAGTAGGGCTTTATCCAGCACACAGGGGTGTCTCCAAACCAGAAAGCAGAGCTCCACTCTGGCTCAGGGTGGGATAGAGAAGCTGCTGGTGAGTTTCATGTGTGACCAACGCTGTCACTGCTTCTTCAGGTCATTTCTAAAGGAGCTGGCCTTGATGGGAGAGACACAAGAGCGAGAGCGAGTGTTGGCTCATTTTTCTCAGCGCTATTACGAGTGTAATCCCAACGCCATCTCTTCAGAGGGTAAGAAACTAAATCCGTGTGTGCATGTGTTTCAAGTGAGCCCATGCGTTTGTCAGCTCAGTGAAGGTGCTGGAGCTGAAACTAGAGAGCAGGCTGAGAGCCTGTACTGACACCTTAAGAGGCAGTCCCAGTCACAAAGACATTGTTTCCCTCAAATGACAGATGCTTTAATTCTTTTTTTTTTTTAAATCTGCTCCAGTTGGATCATGCATAATTAGGGCTCAACCCATCCTTAATTCTGACCTTAAGCAGATTAGCACAAGAGGCGAAAGAAGGCCCTCCTCACCAAATAGACCCCAGTTCTCAGACTCTTGGCTCAGGGAATGGCCAGGTGAGACAACTCGGATGCCCGGCACTCGGGGTGACACAGACACCCACTTTGTACCATTTCACATCTTTGCACCACTCCTGTGTGTGTTCATGTGCTGGGTCTCCTCTGGGCTGGCTCTGGGGCAGGTGAGGTTTGAGCTGCCTGGCTGGCAGAGGGCTATGCCAGTCCCACCTTTCTGTGCTAGGAGCTCTGCAGGATTAGCTGCAGCATCCCTGCCGGGCTGAAAGGGCTGCAGGCTTGGAAGGGAGTTTGTACGCTCAGTTGCTCAGGTTTGGGACCAGCTTTAATTCAGTGGCCTCTTACCTATGTGCCTGTGTGCTGACAGCACCACGCTGACTGCTGTGTGCCCAGGATGGGAGGAGTGGGCTCGAGGCTGTCTCGGCGGCTTAGAGACCTCATACCCTGCCTGAGATGCCAAGGGGCTAGAGCACCAGCTGTGGGGCTGAGCTGGGGGCTCTAATTCCTGTCCTATGCTTGTGCTGCAGATGGAGCCCACACCCTCACTTGCGCCCTGATGCTTCTAAACACGGATCTGCATGGACATGTAAGTTCCCACTGCCACTGGCCCTGTCTGTCCCTGCACTGTCTGATCCCACCGCCCTGAACCATAGGTGCTGGGGGAAGAGTGAGGACTTGAAAGGACAGAGCCACATGAGCAGGAGGCACAGGATCCTGGGCCTATGAGGGCTGGTCACCCCTAATGTGCCTGGGGAGGAGAAAGGAGAATGGCTGAATGTGAGGAGGGGCCTGATGAAAGAGAGAGTGGAGCTTTGAAGGAGATGCATTGTACTGGAAGATGTAGAAGTGGGCTGAGGACAGAAGAGAAAGGTGGACAGGGAGAGAAGGTGAGAGTGAGACTCCAAAACCAGCTGCCACCGGGAGTGGGTAGCACCCAACTTAGAAAAAAGGAGGCTATTTAAAACTCCCAGAGTCTAGGCAAAGCCAGCAGCTTCCCCACACCTGCAAGCAGCCTCCTTGAGACCTGGTTGGTCCCTCACCCTGTGCAGAGATGGGAGGGTCTGTTCCTGGGCTGTGGGACCTCCTCCAGCCAGCACCAGCCCCTGGCCCAAAGGTAACTCCTGCGTTTCTCTCCCCCTGGCTCCCCCAGAACATTGGGAAGAGAATGTCTTGTTCTGACTTCATTGGCAACTTGGAGGGACTCAACGGAGGCACCGATTTCCCCAAGGAGCTGCTCAAGGTAAATTCAGTCACTCTCCTGGCCTGCCAAGCAGCAGGAGCAAAAGTGAGAGCTGTGGGCAGGATCACATGGATGACTATGTGGGATGCAACGGATGTGTCCATCGTCATGCAGGAATGGTGGTGGTCCCTTGGCCCGCAGTTTTCCTCCTGCCTTGCTGAGGTGAACATCAACTGCCCCATTCCCCCAGGAGGACAGCAGGCTCCAGCTGGGGTCCTGATTCCCTCACTGCTCTTGCTGTGCCTGCATTGCAGGCAAGGAGGCACATGTCAGGACAGCTTACTAGGGCTGGTTTGCCCAGTTGCTTCATGGCATCGACCCCGTGGTATTCAGCCCTTCCTGGCTCCATGAGGCACTGGAGCCCAAAGCTGTGTCCAGGCCCTGGGACTGGAGCCATCTCCAGTGGCAGAGGGAATGTTTCTGGTGACATGGGCAAGGCATAGCAATGGGGAGGGTGGGCTGGTAGTCAAAGCCCTGGAGGTAGGAACACACCGCACTAGTGTGACTGGGGGACTGCTGCCTTCTCCCTGCCTGACCTAGTTCCCAGCGGGGCTTGGCCAGGGAGGGCAGTGTTCAGCGAGCACCTCCAGCCTTGGACTGCTGCGCTTCTCTGGCATCGTCTGTTATGGGGCTGCTGTCTCCCCATCTCAGGCCCTGGGAATAGGCTTAGCTCCCGTGGGATCTGCCGGGCAGAAACCATTGCTGTCGGTGAAGCACTACAGTTGGCAAATACTCGTGATGTGGAAGATGGGTTCCCACAGGGTGCTGAAGCCATGATGGTGGGAGATGGTTGATGAAAAAAGGCAACAGAGGGTGAAAAGCTGAGCTCCCTTTTCAGCCTCTGTGGGTCTATTCCTGGCTGTGTCACTCGCCCCATCATTAAGGGGTTACCAGCAGCTCTCAATAGGGCTGTCCTCTCTCTCAGCCCACGCTTCACCAGTAAAAGGAGTTACTCAGGAAAAATTCTCCTCTAATTTTAAACCCAGCTCCAGAAAAGGCTTTAAGCACCCAAAATGGAACAGAAACATCCAAAATGGGGACCCCCAAACCCCTGCTCTCCAGTGCTGCTGTGCCCTGGAACATCCGAGCTCTGCAGGCTCCTCAGCATGCCCCCTTTGCAGCCCCCAGCACCCTATGGTTGGATACCCACACTTCAGGCACTGCCCCATCCCTGTTAAACTTCACCCCCAAAAGTACCAGCAGTTTAAACACACAAGATCAAGTTATCTCATCAGATTCCAGCCAGTGGGAAATAGGGCAGCAAGGAAGTGCCATGAAGCTACAGGCTTTCTCTCATGGGTAGGGGCTAAGACCTTTGCTGGGTGTAAGGGAGCAGGGGGAGGTTACAGAGCTGCAGCATAGACCCGCACAGCTCTGCCCGCAGCCCATCAGCGGGGAGGCTGCTCTGCTAAAAATGGCCTGTTCTCTCTGCAGCTGCGGTGCTTCCCACCGCCGCTTTTCAGCCGCCTCTGTACAGGAGCCGTGCTGGGGAGGGGGGGGCGAAAAGCAGCATGAGGAACTGCACGCAGGGCAGGCTGCAGCTCCTCACCTGAAGCACCGCTCCACTTTGGGGAGCCCATGCAAGGGGGAGCGGGGTCCCAGGGCAGGTGACATGGGAAAAGTACCGTCAGCCCATGCTGGGGAGGGGACCGGTGAGGAATGGTGTTTGAAGGGGTTGTACCGCTCCTGGGCAGCCTTTACCAGGCTCAGCTGAAGAAGACACCCTTTCCGTTCTGCCCACTGCTTTTGGCTGCTTGGTGCTTTGGTCCCCGCACAGGGTCAGGGGACAGAGAAATGGGGAAACACTCTCCCACTGCCCTCCCTGTGTCAGCCTGCACTAGCCCTGCTACCCCGGGTAGGATGCTGCCTCTTTGGCAAACCTGTCTGGCAGGCCGTGCCTGGGGACTGAGGCTCCTGTACAAGCGTGCCACACAGCTGGCTGGCTAATTTTAGCACTCCAGGAGCACATGCATTTCCTAAGGGCAGCAGGGGAGGGAAAGGGCTGGCAGGCTTCACAGGAGCTTCCCAAAGCTTAGGGCTGGTTCTTGGGCAGCTCCAGCTGTGCGGAAGAAGTGTCCTGGGGGCTCTTTCAAGGCTGCCTGGGGAGGTAGTGCAGGCTGCTGCCCCACAGGCTTCAGAGCTGGAGGGCTGGAGGTGGCCTTCATCCACAGCACTCACCACCAGGGAACAGGGACAGCAGGGCAGGACCTAGGTAGCTGCAGGGAACACAAGGCCACCATCCCCTGTGACACTGGGGACAGCATCAGGAATAGACCCAAGGGGAGCCTGGGCACTCCCCTTGTCTCTGGCTGCAGGAAGTCCCAAGACAAACACAGCATGATGCCTGAGAGCGGGTGGCAGCTTGAGTCAGACAAGAACTTTATCTGCTACTAGATAATACATGTAAACAATCCCAGTTTTATGCAGAAGAAACGAAAACACTTGAAAGCTTGTGCTTTCACAGCTGAGCACCGCGTCCCCCTCACTGGCAGTGCCTTGCTGTGCCCTGCACGGCACTGCTGCTGGAGGTAAGGCAGCAATGCCTTACTGGTACTGCTGCTGGAAACCCTTTCCTCTGGCTCTGAAAGCTCCCCTGAAGAATCATACTCTGCAGGCAGGGCTGTCCAGCTCTCCAGCTCCGGTGTCCTCTCCACCAGGGCAGGGAGCTATGCCAGGGATATAAGAACCCATATAATGCCATGCCCAAGGGTGCCCATGTCAGCAGGCTTGGACCCCAACTCCTGTGGCCAAATGAAGGCAGCTGCCCATGCAGCAAGGAAGGAGGCAAAGCGGGACATCCTGGAGCTGGTGGTATTTTGGTTAGCTCTTGAGATGTTGCTCTTCTCTTGTCAGTGTGATTTTAGACCAGGCCCCCCGGGATTTCACTCACTGTTGCTAGTTGTCTGTTACATTTCAGATGTGGATTTGGCCTTTACATGATTGATCACTTTATGGAGTCTTGACTCTTCCCCATCTTCCTTACTCTTTTAGCTTAACCTTGTGCTTTGCTGGCTGGCAGCAACACGGTATAGCCAAATCAGACCCCCATTTCTCCCTGGCACTGCTTAGCGATTGCAGGAGTGAGCCAAATCTGTACTGCCTTCCAGCCTAGGAGCCCGGAGCACTTCACAGATGTTAATGAATTAAGCCTGACAATGCAGTCGGGTCCCCGGGGGAGGAAAGTAGGATGGGCCCCCACCTTCCAGCTTGGAGGCACAACGGCAGGGCTCAGACGCTCAGAGTGCTGGGTAAGTGATTAGCAATGTGGGAAGAAAGCCCCGGCTCCCACCTCTGAGCTATAATCACAGGAACACTTGCTCAGTCTAATCCCCCGGGCTATTTTTTTTTTTTGACAATGCAGTCGGGTCCCCGGGGGAGGAAAGTAGGATGGGCCCCCACCTTCCAGCTTGGAGGCACAACGGCAGGGCTCAGACGCTCAGAGTGCTGGGTAAGTGATTAGCAATGTGGGAAGAAAGCCCCGGCTCCCACCTCTGAGCTATAATCACAGGAACACTTGCTCAGTCTAATCCCCCGGGCTATTTTTTTTTTTTTTCCAGCCTCAGGGGCAGCCCAGCATGCCTGATGTGCACAGCACCTATGCCCCCTCCCTCGCAAGTTTTGCCCAGCAATGACTATGCCAAACAGTTAGGACAGAGTGGAAAATTTCCCCTTTTCCACTGGCTGCATTTCCTACTCAGTCAAGCCTAACTAAATTATGCATCGATCCTCATGCCTGCTGCAAGGCTGCCCAGCCCTTTACATCTTCACAGGAACAGCTGTCTGGAGCACCGATGTCCTGCCCTTAACCAGCTGGGCGGCTCCAGCTACTGATTTTTCTGGCCTGACCCCGAAGGGACAGGCAGGAGGGTTAAGTGGGGGGTGGGCACTGAAGACGGAAGGTCTGAGCCCATCCCCACTGGGCCCAT